AGAAAATAAAGAAAAAAGAAACAAGCTTACAAGAATTGTGGGATTATGTGAAAAAATCAAACTTGCGTTTGATCGGTGTGCCGGAAAATGAAGAGGAAGCCACGCAAGGGCTGGATAACCTATTTGAACATCTTAATATGTCATATTTTTATGTAAGTCATATGTTGGGCTTTTAATTGGAACTTTATTATTAAGAAATATTTTTAAAAGTGAAAATGGAAGATCAGTTAGGAAAGTTATTATCTTTCAAGCACAGGAAATATTTGGAATCATTCTAAGTGCTATAAGTAAGGCAGTGGAAATGGAATCTGAGAAACATCATCTTGATGTTTTGAAAAGGGAAGTGTGTCTTGGTGGCTGACATGCCTCCTAAGCAGTCTTTCTGCTTCTGTTTTACTCTTCTGTCTTCTACGCTCTGTTTCATAGCCAGGACTCAGAAGGATTATTTTTGAAACACATGTGTCATCATCACTTTGCCTGATTAAGATTTCCATCTGGCTTCCCATCTTATTAAGAATATAATCGAATGTCTCCGTTGGTCTACAGGACCCTACGTCATCATATACTGGAATTTCCTGTCCTCACACTTTCCACATGCACACTGTCTTCTAGGCACATTGTCCTTTTTTTACCCTTTAAGCTTCAAAATATGTTCTCACCTTAGCACCTTTACAATTTTCATCCCCTTTCTCCGTCTCTTGGGGCATTCCTCCTTGAAACCACACAAAGCTTGCTTGTATCTGGTTTTAACCTTCTCCTTAAATGTTATCTCTCAGAGGGGCTTTTCCTGGTATGGTAGCACTCCTAGGATTACCCCTGTTTTAGTGTGCTTATTTGTCCATTTGATCTTAGAATTTTAAAATATGTTGTATATCTTCTCAAATAAACTGTTAAGTATGAATTACATAAGATAAATGTACATTCTCTAAGTAAACAGTTCAAATGGTAAAACTTCACTGAAAAATTATTACAGAGTCACCAATGGACTGTTACTTTTAAAGAGGTAACTTGATTATTTCTAACTTATTTATAATTTGGCTAGAGCATGTATCTTTATGGTTTTCAATCTTTTAAAATTTACTGAGTCATGATCTGTAACCCTTATGTGCTCCCATTGAGGTAACTACTTTGTATACTCTTGAGAAATGTGCATTTCTAGTTTATATATACAAGCACACATATACATGTACAGATATATACATTTTATAAATATATATGCTATATAGAAATATCTATACATACATCCTATGTGAATAGTTACATTTTTAAATTGTGTTTTTGAAATGCTTTATGATCATAATCATTGTTTTGTCTTTTCTTTGTTTAGATTTCATATAAGTACTGGTACATTTACATTTATACCTAACATCTCATTCTGTATTTTCTCTTCTATTTTTCCAGCCTGTTTTATGTTTATTTTCTAGTTTTTTCCTGCCTTCTCTTAAGTTATTTTCATCATTTATTCTTCTAGTATTTTTCCTTGGTAAAATATCTTTTAAGTATTCATTTAGGTGATACCTCCTTATATAGCAATATTGTTGATAGTAGCAATAAATGCTGAATTG